AAAAGAAGGAACTGTTTAACACATAACGTAGTTAGTATAAAAGAAGGAACTGTTTAACACATAACGTTGTGAGTATAAAAGAAGGAACTGTTTAACACATAACGTTGTGAGTATAAAAGAAGGAACTGTTTAACACATAACGTAGTGAGTATAAAAGAAGGAGCTGTTTAACACATGACATAGTGAGTATAAAAGAAGGAATTGTTTAACACATGACATAGTGAGTGTAAAAGAAGGAATTGTTTAACACATGACGTAGTAAGTATAGAAGAAAGAATGTGTAACACATAACTCAGTGAGTATAAAAGAAGGAACTGTTTAACACATGACATAGTGAGTATAAAAGAAGGAATTGTTTAACATATGACGTAGTGAGTATAGAAGAAAGAATGTGTAACACATAACTCAGTAAGTATAAAAGAAGGAACTGTTTAACACATAACGTTGTGAGTATAAAAGAATAACTGTTTAACACATGACATAGTGAGTATAAAAGAAGGAATTGTTTAACACATGACGTAGTGAATATAAAAGAAGGAACTGTTTAACACATGATGTAGTGAGTATAAAAGAAGGAAGTGCTTAACCCATAACGTAGTGAGTATAAAAGAAGGAACTGTTTAACACATAACGTAGGGATTATAAAAGAAGGAACTGTTTAACACATGATATAGTGAGTATAAAAGAAGGAACTGTTTAACACATGATATAGTGAGTATGAAAGAAGGAGCTGTTTAACACATGATATAGTGAGTATAAAAGAAGGAACTGTTTAACACATGATACAGTGAGTATAAAAGAAGGAACTGTTTAACACATAACGTAGTGAGTATAAAAGAAGGAACTGTTTAACACATGATGTAGTAAGTATAGAAGAAAGAATGTGTAACACATAATGTTGTGAGTATAAAAGAAGGAACTGTCTAACACATAACGTTGTGAGTATAAAAGAAGGATTATTTAACACATGAATGTTGTGAGTATAAAAGAAGGATTATTTAACACATGACATAGTGAGTATAAAAGAAGGATTATTTAACACATGACATAGTGAGTATAAAAGAAGGATTATTTAACACATGACGTAGTGAGTATAAGAGAAGGAATTGTTTAACATATGACGTAGTGAGTATAGAAGAAAGAATGTGTAACACATAACTTAGTGAGTATAAAAGAAGGAATTGTTTAACACATGACGTAGTGAGTAGAAAAGAAAGAATGTTTAACACATAACTTAGTGAGTATAAAAGGAGGAATTAATTTTTGTCTGTGGGATGGGGTATCCCCAACTCATTCGGGAGCTATTACCACAGGCATTATCCGCTATAAATTTAAAGTGACAACAAGGACTGACAATGCTTATTTTATATTAAGTTCATTGTTGTTTTATAGTGTTGGTTTTAATCGCCTATTAACAATTAACGTAATTAATAGTATTGGAGCTATTTATTTCATTATATATATATATATATATATATATATATATATATTGATGTTTTCAAGGATCAAATAATAGAACTGATGAAAGCATGAGACACTAGATAATGTGTTTTATATTATATATTAAAATTATTGCTATTTCAAGGACCTAGTATAAAATAGACGAAAACAATTACCGTGATCTCAAGGATTGAGTACAGAACTGGTGAAACACTAGGCACAATACTATATGCATTATATTATATATAAACTTAATATATTGTCAAGAACCTGGTATTGAACTGGTGAAATTGCTAAACACTAAACTATATGTTTTACTTTATTTATAAAAATTACTATGTTTTAAGAACTTGGTATAAAACTGGCGAAAACACTAAACACTAGACTATATGTTTTACTTTATATATATATATAAATTACTGTGTTTTCAGGGATCCTTTCGAAGCTCTTTGCAGATATTCTTTTAAGGACCTACGATTTAGTTGTCCAAGTATCTGTTTGTATAGTTGAGAATGCTAAAGCCTTTAATAACAAAACTTTTGAAGATTGGAAATGTATAATGAATAGTGAAATACAGATATTTTATATCAGGATTTACAAATTATGTATATTTGCTAAGGCAACGCGGTTTCCCAATACACTCGTGACATTGTCCATATCATATTGAATTTTGTTTTTTTTATGAACTTTTGAAATGTTTACGTAACGTACTGCTCTTCTTAAATGTTAAAATATAGTGAATCCCACTACATAGTTCCTGAAGGAAAGGAATACTTTTTCCTCAATAGTAATTTCCATGCTCTTTACATTTTTGTTTGCTGAAGTGTGGAAGACGAAAATGCTCGAGTCAACTTTGATAGTCAGCTCACACTTCTTGATTCTACGATGGTATAACTGAGCACTGCAGCATCACATGACAGCCCCACGTGACCACAGAACCGAACTAATGCCCCGTGCTGGGGGAACTGGCTTAACATTCACGGCACGCCAAACTAGATATGCTCCATGCGTCACGTTAACCGGACTTCTCCTTATCGCACTGCGGCACGAGCATCGTGACCATCCTTTAACAGCGACTAAGTGACCAAAGAAACTCTTCAGGCGTCGGAGGCGCCACTGGATTCCTTTCACCTACCGAATCTACGAGTTACGACTAATAGTAATTACAAGTTTTTGTTTTTTTAGTCAGGCAATCGCCCTGCCTATGAATACTAACTTCTCAGGTGCACAAGTATCTTTACCATACATTTCAAAACTTAGATTAATCAGTATTGAAAATAAAACGAAATCGAAATAAAGAAAACTTTATATATTGGCGGGAACTAATCTCTCAACATGTTTGTCAGCTTTGGAAAAAATATGAAGAAAAATGTGTTGATATGGACGGGCAAAGTTAGTTTAGTCTCTGTAGCAATGGTATATCTTGTTCTCCTGATTCTGGAGCAAGCTGAGTGTGTTAACGGTAAGTTCCTTAAACATGAGGCTGAGTTTATTTCAATGGTATGGATATTTAGTAACTACCTTGAAGATAGAAATAAGGGTGTGAATTTCTAACCTACGTATTCAGTACGGTGATTTCCTCAAATGTCTTTCGCCTCTCATAGTAGCGTAATAGCTAAGTGAAATTTTCTGAATATTTTGTTCTTTTTTCATTAGCATAATATGGTTACAAGATTAAGTTTTCCAGGACATTGGCTTAAGAACATAAGACGTACAATATTTGTAATACTGAAGATTCGATTGTTTGACTGTAAAATAAAGACATTGGTCTTATAGAATTAGTTAGTTTTAAATTAATTCAATCTAAATTAATTTGTTTTTAGGAAGAAATCTTTATTTCCCATGACATGGTAAAGTCTGTGGTAAATATAAATTATAACACCTATTAGAATTAACATATAAAGAGTTATCGGTTTCTGTTGTCACTCTACAAAGTGCAAAGAATGTTTAAATGCACGTAGATGAAAAAAGCCGTTTCTGTAGGGTCTTTTTTAGGGGGATATTTTTAGTTTCAACTTCAAATTTTATATCTGACTTTTGTACCCCTGTAAATCCTGTTTTATTGCAAAACACTGTTAATAACCTACATTTGATTGATCATGGACTAATAAATTACTAAGCAAGAACAAAATAGATACCTGTGAAAATATGGATTTAAAACAACACTAGTTAAAAGAAAAGACACTCTCTTATTAAGAATCAATGAAGGGCATATGTGAATACCACTTTCAGGCTAACTTTCGTTAACGCTCATTTCAAAGTAAACTTATAAATCACAGTTCTAATATCGTTCTTTTTATTAACTAGAATACTAAACATTGGCTTACTTTATTAACTATCTGATGCCTTACATTTACATAGATACTTACAGAATCCCATTGCTCTATTCTTGAAATCTCACGTTTGTCCTTCTGAATTTGAACTCCTAAATATATTTCCGATTCTCATGGATCTATCTTCTTTACAAGAACAGCATATCATATAACAGGCTTTAATCTTTTATCATCAGCAGTGTAAATAGAAACTAGATTTTCACAAATTATTTGTAATTAGCTGCAGCATACATTATAGCTGTTTTTATTATGAGAAACAGCTAAAACTTTACACAAAAGAGAAAGTTTATCTCGGATAAAAGTGACCCAAATACTTTTTACTTCATATTAATCTTAGACATTCATATTCTTACATAAAATCATTAACAAGGAGCTTATTCATGCTGAGTTATATTTATCTGAAGTCCCGCAGTGGTTCAGCGATTAGTTTGAGGGCTCATATCGATGAAAACCGAGTTTCAATACCCGTTGAGGGCACAGCACAATTAGCTCATTGTGTAGCTTTTTGCTTAACAAACAAGCAATTTAAAAACCTTTACTCAATATTAGTACAATATTGGCCAGTTATCTTGAAAGAAAAACCGTGTAATTCATAGGGAAAATGTATAGTCAACTAGTAAGTTTCTTTAAGCACAAAGCTGCACGGTGTGCTTATCTCTGTGGTGCCTACTGCAGGAAACGAACTCCAAATTTTAATGTTATTACTCTTCGAAATTACCGCTGGACCACCGGAGGGCCATGTGATCAAAACCAAGTAAAAATACATGACTTGTTTCTACAAACACGGGAAAATGATTATAATTCACAGTTTGCGGGTCAATACCTGTGTTTCTTAAAGTATACCATAAATATGCTGTGACGACACTTCTCGTTAAACAACTTACGTACATATAATTTGCTTAAAGCAACTAATTCAACCCGAAGCAAGGTGGGCCGAGCGCTGCCCAGTGGTTACCATGCTCGACATGGATCTGAGGATCTGCACACTGGGGTCTTGGTTGCATTATAAGAGTGACTTTCTGATTCCACTGTTTGCTCTGACTAATGTAGCCCAAGAATTAGCGGTGGATGTTTACTAGTTACTTTTCCTCAAGTGTATCACTTCAAAAGTATGGACAGCTAGCACTGAAAGCCCTCGAGTAGCTTCGCGCGACATTTAACAAACAAACCAAACGAAGCAAGGTTTACCAATCGTACTTGTCTATCACCCGCACTTGCCTAAATATATTTTAGTCTAAACGAATCAGATGTTACTAGATAACTCTTATTTATTTGGAAAGATTATGTAGTCTCACAGACATAGTTCTTTAAGATTATTGTATTTCCTTCATTTCAAAATCCTATAAATATAGAAGTAAAAATTTGCAACTATGATTAATGTATTTTACTGTCTTGTAAAATAATTTCCATGATCTGAACATTGGAGAAAAGTTCTTAAAACTTACAAAGAAAACTTATTTGATTATTATTTGAAACAAACAACATTTTCTCTTAGATATATGATGTTCTTCTTTTTATTATATCAGTTCAAACAATTATAACGTATTAAATAATTATTAATTTCATTTTACAAAAAAAAGACAAAGCTTAAACTACGGCTACCTTGAATGTTTAAAAAGCTTGCTTGTTAAAATGTACGTTTAACAGAGACACTAATTATCCCAGATATCCTTATTTAATTAGTCTGAATAGTATAAAGACCTACAACAGAACGAGAGCCTTTAATATAATATTTTTATACTACAGCGTAAGATTCGTAATTGTTATTCAATATGCTAGTTATTAGTACGTAACCACCATCAGTCCGTACTGAATTAAAATTAACACTAGATAAAAATCAGGTATTAAAAAATTAAAACTTTTCATAGATATTGTTTGATTGATGTACGATTAAAAATTCAACAATTTGTTCTCTTACTAGAATTTCTATCGAAAATGAAATAAATAGAAATAAGCCTTTCACTTGAGGAATTTAGAGATAATTTGAAACTGTTATTAACTAACTCCAGGCTTCTAAATGTGTCAGTTTGATGTTTGTGCTAACCGAGTAGCTAACACCACAAATTATCAATAATTAATTAAAAACGACACTACGAGCAGATATATTATTTAGTTTTGCTTAAAGACCAATCCTACATTATTTTGGTTTCATGTTTAAATTGGTACATCGAGAGTAAATACAAACTAGAGTGCATGAAATTTATAATTCTACTAATTCCAAAACGAGTTATAACTCAGCAAAATAAAATCTCCTACATGAAACTTAAGAATTTTTTTGCTTCTTTTGATTTGCAATTGACTATTTTCTTAAGTGTCCTCAACTATTTCTGTTCTTTTAAATTTTTTACTTATTTCCTGGGATATTTGTAATACGTTAAGATTCTTTTTCTGATTTTATTTTTATTTTTTGAACCCTGCATACTTCTTAGTAATTAGGAATTTCATAGTGTTTTTTTTATTGTTATTAATCCGGAGAATATAAGAATATACTAGTTTGAACATCATGGCGTCAGAAACGACTGCAGGTGTTCTCGTGCACATAAGAACGGAATCACAATGAACATTTGAAAACTTTTCTCGTTTTTCCCTTATGATTATTTGAAGTGAGGGAATAAAACATGCATTTCAAGTCTAATCTGATTTTTGAAAATGTCTCTTGACTGATTTCTCCTCAGTAAAACACAACATTGTAGTATTGTGTAGCGTTATGTTTTGTTTTCTTAGTATAATGTTTCCTAATAAAATATTTCTAAATATTCAAGTATTTGATATTTGCTAAATTAATATATCTTTTTAGAATAGTAACATACCCGCATCCTTATTTATTGTTAACAACCACTACAGGTATTACAACACTTTCGTTACGTTATATCTATATTATATCTATAATTGTTTACAAACACATGGACAATTTGCATTAATAATAAATACTTATTTTCATCCTTGTGATAAAATAAATAATTCTAAATATTGTCGCACAGTTTACCATAATTATAGTTAACATAATTAATATAAGTAAAGCTGTTAAAACTTCATCTCACCCGCTTACGATACTACCGATTATGATTCAAATTAAAACTCTCCGTGTTCGGATACCTAAGAAACTAAAGTGAAAATGTGAAGAGATACATAAACGAAAACTTTAAAATATATCTCTCTAGTTATAAAGACTTAGTATTTAGACGTACTACACTGAAGAGGTTTACAAAAAGGAGATGTGTTACTACTCTATTATTGTAATTTATATTACAGTATCAAATATACATGAATTAAGTTTCATTTTCAAAAATTTGAATTAAATCCATTTTCTAATGGTGTTTGTCTATCAATCTACAGTCTAAGTCTGAATCTAGTAAAAGTAATAATTAGTTAAGTCCCACTAAGGTAACGAAAGCTATTGCTACAATGACAACAGGAATCGTCGTTACGATGGCAACGAGAAAAATCGTTATTACTTAAAAGTATGAATAGAACTAGCTTTACTAAACTAATATTCTACCGAGGGTACTACCACTCAAAGACTTTGAAACAATTAACAACTGATGATATATCTACCGCCAAAGTTTAGTCTCTGAACAAAGTGATCACGGTTACAAAAATTCAGCCACACGAAGTTCCAGAAGACTATTATCTTTGTGTTCTCTCACTTGAAGTGCTGTGAATGACATGTTATTTGCGTGATAGGCAATACTAAATTATTGTAGTTATTTCATGAATTATTCCATGCTTGGTTCTTATAGTAGATGACAGTATTACGTCCATACGTGACGTACGGCACACGATGAGCTCTTCTCTGAATCCACTAACTGTTTCGTTAGGGTTTTTACATTTGTACAACAATAAATATTAAATTAAAAAGAGAGAGATACAAAAGTGAAAACTATGTGTTGTTTTCGGCATGGAAATTCACTGTGTGTTTTATGTTAGTGATTAGCAAAATAATTAATTATTATTGAAACACTTATTGATCAAATAAGTATGAAAAAAAATGCCGAAATAGAAACATTAAGCTATACATATTTAAAGATGACTTATTTCTTGACTAGCCGGCGTTTACATGTAAACCTTATTTTTTAAGATAGTATGAATCCAGTTATTATACTAGAGTGACACTATATCAATGTTATTG